AGAGTCAGYGAGCAAGCTAAGAAATGCAGGAGATAAACAGTAAAAAGAATAATTTATTTACCATTAAAACTTTATCCTCTAACTCAAAATAAYATGTATGTGTTTTGGATTTTGAAAGCTAAAAATTTTATTGCCTATCACGCTACACATTAATTAAAAAGAATAATTTCCATGTTGTTTTAGTCAGATTTTTTATTGTTGTGACAAAAAAAAAAAAAAAACTGAGAAAACAACTTAGAGGAGGAAGGATTTATTTTGGTTCACAGTTTTAGAGGTTTTAGTCCCTGGTTGATTTGTTCCATTACTTTGGGTCTGAGGCCAAACAAAGCATTATGACAGAAGGGCATGGTGGGAGAAAACTGCTCACTTCACAGCAGCCAGAAAGTAGGGTGGGGGTGAAGGGGCYGGGGGCAACATATACCCACTCAGGGCATGCCTAAAGTGATCTACTTCTTTCAAGTAGGTCCCATCTCCTACAGTTTCCACCACCTCCCAGTAGTCCTTTTAATAATGACCTCATCAATAAATTAGTCCATTGATGTGATCAGTGCCCTCATGAAAAGTACCCCAAAGCTCCTAGGTTATCTCTAAAATATTTTTTCTAAAATTATAATATTCCTGAAAATGCCAGTTTGAAAACTAGCTAATATTATGCATGACCAAATAGACCATTTGTAGATGAATATCTTCTCCAAGAAATCAGAAGTGAAGATATTTAGGTATCAGAACATATCAAAAGTAAAAGAAAAATTCAYCATGAGTAGGACCTCTTTTCCTGACCCTGGAAATGAGGGTGTGCCTGGTAACACATCATTGCAGAAGCCCATGATCTGATTTTCAGCAATCAGAAAGCTCAGTTGGCAGMCCAGCAGTGAGCAGGATGTGTTAACAGATGTCCTATAACTGCTGATTTGATTCTAGGAATTTAATTTGGCTTCTTGGGGACAGCCCTGGAACAGCATGACAATTCTAGAAAGTGGTGTCACACTTACCCATCCATTTGGCACTAAGCAGGTTTAGATCTCCTTTTGGAGAAAGGCATTTCTCAGAAATAGCATATGTTGAGAATTARTCAATTAACCAACAGGTAGGTGGTTTATTAGTTTTCTAGTTTGTCTTTAGTGCTGTGGGAAAGATAAACTCTGACTCTAAAATGTAGTTCTGGAAAATACTACTAATTTGTCATCTATAATGTGACAATAACTGTTCTTCAGAGTGTGGTTACATAAGACTAGATCTCAATTTCTGGGCATTTGCAGTTGACAACCTCTCAGGAAGTGAATATAAATGAATATAGTTATTCAGGTGCTCAGGAGGCGAAGAATAACAACTGCAGGCAGGAAAAATAAAAGTARTTTTGGAGAAGAGGACTTGGGTTTCTCAAAAGTTTTTCTCTGTGTGGAGAAGGGTGGTGTTCTGGAAATGGACATTTGCCTTAATATAGATGAGGGTTGAGGATGCTGAAATATCTGAAAAAGGTAACTTTAATCAAGTGAATGAAGTGACAATGAGACTCCCCTCCATCTTCCTATTCTTCATTTCAGAGTATTTCATATAAAATATTAATATGCAAAAAAATATCAATATGCTAACCCTCTGTAAAAATAACRGATGCTAGCAGCTTTTGCATCTCTAGCAGGTAGGAGTTTCTCTTTTCTAGATTATAGGTTAAATGCTTATTTATTCAACAAATATTCTCTGACCATCTACCATGTGACCGGCACAAAAATCAGGCAAAAATCCTCGCCCTCCTGGTGTGGGAATCAGACAATGATCAAAATAGAGAAGTATTTTAGTAAAAGGTGCTAAGGAGAAAAAGTAGAGAGGAAGAACAGGAAACGAGGGCAGTCACAATTCTAGACATGGGAAGATCTTAAGAGAAATTTGAGAAAAGAGATATTTCACTTATTTCACTTTGAAATCTAAAAACATTGAATTCATAGAAATAGAATGGTCTCTTTATGCTCTAAATAATTATATGTTCTAAATTAATCTCTGACTCAGAGCGGCAATTTAACAAGGGAGCAAGAAATTTTCTCAGTTAGGCTCTAAGCACCCCCTATTTCTAGGGCTATGAGAATCTACAGGGGTGCATATATTGATTCTCCAGTGAGTTTCTAGGGCTCATTTTKCTCCAGCCTGGTGGCTGCTGAGGACTGTCTAATCTCATGTGATTTTTGAGGAGCCAGCTCTTTATTAGGGCTATGAAACCACAGCTTAATTTTGTCACATGGGCAACCAAGTGCCTCCCCATGGTAGAAGTTCTCCCCTGTGGGGACAAAATCTAGGCTACTCCAGGAACTCCTCCRGAATTCTCAAACCCATCTCAGTATGGAGGACCTTCACAATGGGGTCACTTCTCAAWTTTCATCACGCACTTTCTAACAGCCTTTCTAATGGCCTGGCCTCCCAGACAGAAGCTTGAGTGGGAGAGGCCTTGTGCTAAGTAAAATAAACTAGGCCCAGAAGGTCAAATACCACATGATCTACTTGTACGTGGAATCTTGAAATGTTAAACTCATAGAAGCAGAGAGTTGAATGGTGGTTATCAGAGCTGGGGAGTTGGGGAGATGTTGGTTAAAAGGTTAAAAAAAAAATAAGTCTGGTGGTTGTTTTCAGGTCTCTGGCTACCTKTGGTTTGAAACCAAAAGGGTGCCTGTGGCAAAGAACAACCTTTTAATATGATACTCAAAATAAGAGGCTTCATTCCTTTTGGTCTCCAAAGAACTAAGGACAAAACAAAATGAATGTCTCAATCCATTCAAATAACCTTGCCAATACATTCAAATAACAAATGTGGTCCCTTTAAATTATTTGTCTGTCAATATACTCAGATAATTGTGAGAATTATATATTTGCCCCCCCCTTTGCTTATTAGCATTGTGACTCTGTATGAGGAGTTGGGTAGGGAGGTATTCATCTGAGGGTGTTCTGTTCTGTTTCACATCTCTCCCTTCATTATCAGACCAGTTCATCTAAGAGACAGTAAGCAAGGTATAGAGGTGACCAAGGGGAGCAAGAGACCAGGAGACAGAAATAGAAATGAGGGTCCSATGGAGGAAAGGTAGACATGGGAAAGGGGAGGACAGGGAAGAAAATGTACTGAGAATAAGGGAGAAAGGAACAAAGGAGAAGATGAAGTTAAATAGACTTAGAACGAGGGTTGGAAAATGAAATATTGAGGATGGACAATGAAGAAACAAGTTAGTTGCAGAAATTGTGTTAAAATTATACAGAAGGTCAGAAATTATGTTAAAATTATACAGAAGGTCAGCTGAAGGTCAGAAGCCTGACACAGGATTTGGCAGGACTTTCTTCCTGGAGGCTCCATGGGGAACCTGCTTCCTTGAGCATGCTAGCTTCTAGAGCTGCCTGCATTTCTTGGTTCTTGCTCCCTTCCTCCTCCATCTTCAAAGCGCCTCTCAGATCTGAGGTTCAAATTTCATCTCTCTATTCTTCTGCACCACCTCCCTGCCATCACCTCCTTCCTCCATAAATCAAGTTCTCTACTTTTAAGGATTCATGGGATTACATTGGACCTGCCTGGATAATGCAGGATAATCTCCCYATCTCATGGTCCATAAAATCATAGCTGCCCAGCCTCTTTTGCTATAAACSATGATATATTCACAGATGCTGGGAATCAGAACACTGTATTACATCCTCAGGRCCATTGCTGTGTCTCTCACAGAGATTATGCAGGCTTCATTGGAAGCCTCTCTGTTAATCAAAGTATCAGGCAGTGCGGTTTCGGGGAGCCCAGTTCCAATCTAGACCATGTTGAATGYGTCTTAGCCCACATACCATTTGAAATGTAGAAATAGATGTAGTTCCCAAAAAGTCAAGATATTCATTTTGATAAGAATAAATGCATATGCCTTTTTTATTATATTCTAATGTATAATGGCAGGAAAATCAATGGATGACTTTGAAACCTTAAATAAAATCTCCTACTCTGGTAGCATGGTGCCCAGGATTAGGTAGGAGCCACTGAAGTGGTGTCTTTGTCTGACTCTGTGTGGCCATTGCTGAGGCTCATGGTCAGCATATCTTTTCTATCCTTGACACTTCTCTGATAAGATGCTTGTGGATTCAGAATGACTACAGGTGATTCCAGATGGCAGCTCCTGCTAATTCCCAAAAAAATGCTTAAGCAGGCCCACCTCAGATGAAGAACCTATCCTAGTTTCTCTGTGGCAGAGAGGAGTTCTGTGGAATTCACTTCCTCCTTCACAAGTGTTCATGTGCTTGTATTTGCCACACATCATTGTAACAAGAAACCGGCCTTCTGTGGAGAATATTGGCCGGAACCTTCTGAAATTTGATTCCATAATCTGATTTTGATTCTGGTTCATGCCCTGTTCTCTTCTTAACAACACTTGGATCAGCTTCCTGGGCAAGCTGAAAGTGAAAGTTAAAAAATTCCATGTGAGGATGAAAAAGGAAGTCTGGAAGGAAATGAGAAGGTGAGCTTTGTAATTGGCTATTCAAAAATAAAGTCTGATCTTTACTTAGAGAGAAGAAGAAAGGAAGGAAATGTAGTGACTCAAATTATCTACAATTTGGGCTATTTTGCCTATTGTTTCCTCCAAACACAAAGTAGCATTTGTTGAATTCCAAGCACTTGCTGGTTATTGGGGCTAATAATACTGAGTATTTTTATAGGTCTTATTGTGTGAGAGAGTTTGTATACATTATGTTTGTCTGTATCAACATATTCAAACCATGTAAAATTTTATGTTTGTTAAATTGCTGCCTGACTTTTTAGAAGTTCTTTCACATCAGCTACTTTATCTGGTCTCATAGCAATTCAGAAAGTGTCCAGTACAGATATGAAATCAGAGTCATAAAGAAATTAATCATCTTATTCTCACCTTACTTGGTCCCAGGACTAAGGAGTGTTAGGTTACAATCAAGTTTCTTAACTTTAAAATCAATACTCTTTCTATTTAATTCTGTAYGAAAAAAAAATTCCATAACTTAAGAGTTTGAGCAGAGTTTTAATGATTTCAGAACTATCAGAGCTATAACACTAATTTTCATTTACAACATATATTTAACAGCAATTGACCATAATTTGGTGCTGAGGGGAATATTAAACAATGAAAAAAGATAGCGTTTCATGCAATATTATATAAAAATATAACAAGATCTTGAAAATGTAATATTATATAAAGAACTAAGAGACTCAGAAAAAAGGTTTGTTGCTGAACTATTTTAAAATAGTACACAGTTTCTATCACATGATGAATGTAAGAATCAAACAAGAAAATACAGAGACAACTTCTGAGTTCAAATTGCCCAACACGCACAAAGCTAAGCATTTTCTGCACAGTATAATTAATTCCACCAAAAAAGAGGAAGATAATACCTTTAAATTGATTAAACTATAAATTTAGAATTTTACCCCATTACCTCATGTGTTTCTTTTCCTTAGTATAACTAATCTGAGCCAGTTTTACAAAAATTATTTTACTGAAAAATGGTCAACACACTGGTACCGGTTCAGACTCAGAAAGATTTTCTGGATTATTTATAAGATTCAAACAGATTGAATTTTTTGTTTTGTTTTTAAAGTCAACCTAAAGGTACACACAAAATCTGTTTCTTCCTGGTTTTACTTGTTGGTTTTCAATAAATGTTCATTTTTAACCTTCCAAAAAAATGTACTCTAAAACAATGTGATTTGTCTTTTAGAATTTAATCATCTTTTCCTGACTCTTGAAATATTTCTCTAGCCATGTCAAATATTAACAAAGAGCTCCACATACAAAAAAATTCCCCTTAATTCTTCTGTCTTTTGCTGATATTGTGGCAGATATGAACATTGCATTTGATTAAGTAGATGGAATCTACTTAATCCTACTTTTGTCTGTGAATATGATGTCTAGCTSAGTTAAGGGACAGGCTCATATAGACTGTCTAATACCACTGTCTTACTGAATTTAAGGAGCATAAAGTGAGTCTTCAGGTCTTTATTCATCAAAATTGAATGTGTTTCATTAGGAATTCTACTCAAAGAGAAAGTCTGCCTACTGAGAAAACTATGTAGTAACCATTTTCCCTTAGCCTAAAAACAAAATACAAGTGTCTAAAAGTTCACAGCATTTCATGTCTCAACCTCCCCCAACCATGTGGAGACATGGCTGAACCAAGAGGAGGTGTTTTGGACCCTCAGGCTCAACATCAAGAGTCTGTGCAATAACTTCGAGGTCCTTCTCTGATCAGCTGTGTTTTCTCATTTGCATTTGTAGGCTGGAGAACAACAGGAAAGTCCACATCTAAAAATAAACAGAGAAAAGCAACAAATACTCTTTATCAAATTATAGTTCCTTTAATGGGGGGCAAGAGGTAGGTATTTTTCTTGAAATGATGAGCAAACCAATTGAATTCATGAAATATTATTACTATTAAAATGCCTACCCCTTTAAGCACTACAAAAGRGAAGAGACACTGTATATTCCTTGCTCAAGTCCTGTTAATTTCAAAATTATAAAACTGAAACTGTAAGCCCAACTTTCCCTTGAGAGAGAGGCTTGCTGAACCTACTGAACTTGAACTTAAGTTTTCACTACCTTGTGAAGATGGATCCCGGGCCACCAATATGGTTGTGCAGGTTGGACACTCCAAAGCACGGTGGGCACCTTCATAAAGACTACAATGTGTATCTATATGACAAGTCTAGTTTATGTGGCACATGACCCCTAAAAAAATTTATAGTGCATAATTTCATGCAGGTTCCCCTCTGAGATAGGAGTCAAAACCCAGAGCTTGCTTAGGTGGAGAGTTTAATAGGAAGTTCTCCACATAAAGGTAGTGCCCCAAATGGTTATGTCTTCTGTAAATCACGATACCCTTAAATCTGCAGGGAGACTTGTTAGACTTGAGTTTTGGCATTGAGTTGAAGGAACTTCTCTTAAAATGTTTAATGGCAGGCCAAGGAGTACTCAGGTTGACAGATCAAGTTTTCATCACCTGTGTGTTCTAAGCAAGATGACAATTTCATTTAAAGTGGTCCAGTGCAAGATTACTCCCAGGCACCTAGCAGAAGTGAATGACTTCACATTCAACATAGTTCTAAAGAATCCCTATAACATTGCAAGAAATGTGATTTCATAGTAAAAACAAAGAGATAAGATGGAAGGGAAGATTACATTACACATAGAAACAATGCACATTGAGTGACAATTTTTCTTTATATTGTATATTAAAATTATACATAATAGTGTCATTCATTGTTATATATTCATATGTACATAAAATGTAACACTATGATTTTATCAGTTTCATTCCCTAGCACCTCTTTTCCTCCCTCCCCTGGTCCGCCCCCCTTCCTCTACTCTACCATTCTTCTGAAGAGAATATTAATGTAGTACAATACAGATCTAAGGAGATTATCTGGGAAAACATGAAAGATGGCAAAAGAGATGAATAGGGTGATAAAATCTAACATATCTAATGCAATTTCCAAAGGGAGGAAAAAAGAGGAAAGGCAGTATTTGAGGATTTTATSACTGAGAATTTTCTAGAATTGATGAGACACCAATTCCACAGATTCAACAGAAACTAAAGAGAAGCCCATATTTAGAACATCTTAGTTCTAATGAAGATCATCAGAGACAGTGGCTTTAAAATCACTTTCAATAGGAAGTATGATACTATGCAATTACATCTTCAGTATGTCAAAAGAAGAACTCTGTCAACTTCACTGCTAGGAGCCACAGCAAAAGTATTATGATACATGGCACTTTTGGTTTAGGTGACTGCCAGCTAGCCATTGAGATGATATAATTATGTTAAGCTTTACATTCATATGGAAATTGGACTCCTGCTGTTCACTTCGGCCTGTTAAGGGACTCACATTACGGGACTCCCGGAGAGTTCCCATTGGTTGGGGAAGGATAATAAGAGGGCATTTCCGGGGGAGGTCCAGGACCCCGGTTCCGGTGGAGAGTACACGTGTGTCGACTGGCTTGTTAGCAGGGCGCACACGGGGACTGGCGGCTCTTTTAAAAATAAAGCTTTGTTCCCGCTGAGCGGCTTGTGTTTCTGTGCCCAGCCGGGTTGCGGCGGCTTGTGTTTCTGTGCCCAGCCGGGTTGTGGCAATTGGTGGCCCGTACGGGGAATGCCCGAAGCTTAGAGGTGAGTATTCGCTCGCCGCGGAGGAAAGGCGACAGAATGGGTATTCTTATTTTGATTTATTTTGCTTTTATTTCAAGCTCCCTAGCCTTAGAATTTTTTCAGGCGAACTGGGAAAAATGGTTGGCTCAAGGTTTGAAGTTATTCGGCCCTGAGAAAGAGAAAATTGATATAACCATTCTCCTCTCCGTTTTTGTCTCATTCTGTTTTGGCTTTCTCCTATCCTATCTTATTGGGTTACGTTACCTTTATAGTAGATTAGAATCTAGTAAAAAACAAACCRAAAAACTGTTAAGTAAATTGTTAGAGGTCCAGGCTATGGTAGAAAACATATTAGGTCAAGCAAAAGAAAAGGTCCCTCAAGCAAGAGTTCCCATTGGTTGGGGAAGGATAATAAGAGGGCATTTCCGGGGGAGGTCCAGGACCCCGGTTCCGGTGGAGAGTACACGTGTGTCGACCAGCTTGTTAGCAGGGCGCACACGGGGACTGGCGGCTCTTTTAAAAATAAAGCTTTGTTCCCGCTTGAGCGGCTTGTGTTTCTGTGCCCAGCCGAGTTGCGGCGGCTTGTGTTTCTATGCCCAGCCGGGTTGCGGCACTTCACTTTGATGATTAACTCTCTAAGTTCTTTTTTTTTTATTAAAGCATGAAATAAATGTATATCCAGACAACTTAAAAACAGAAAATTTGCCACCAGAAGACCAAATTTAAACATATAACAAGTAGAAAGGAAGTGTTATCTGATGGAAGATTTCTGCTGTAAAAAGGAACAATTAGCAAAAAACCACACACACACACACACACACACACACACACACACACACACACACTAGGGTAATACTCCAGCATACTGGCACAAGCACTGATTTACTTAATAAGACTCCTAAAGCTCAAGAAATAAAACTAAATATAAACAAGTGCGATGACTTCAAATTAAAAAGCTTTTTTAGGGCTGGGGTTGTGGATCAGCCGTAGAGCGTTTGCCTGGCATGTGTGAGGCCCTGGGTTCAAATCTCAGCACCACATATAAATAAATAAAATAAAGGTCCATCAACAACTTAACAAAAAATTCTTAAAAAAAGCTTTTGCACCACCCAAGAAACAATGAAGAATGTGAAGAGAGAGCCTATAGAATGAGAGATTATTACCAGCCATTTTTCCTACAGGAGATTAATATCCAGAATATAAGAAGAAAACAAACAAATAAAAACCTAAAAAAACAACCCCCAAATAACCCATGGACAAATGAACTAAATAGACATTTCTCAAAAAAGCAAATACAAATGGCCAACAAATATATGAAAAAGTGTTCAACACTCTTAGCAATCAAGGAGATGCAAAAATCCAGGCTACACTAAAATTTCATCTTACTCAAGTCACAATGGCAATCACCAATAAATGCTGATRAGGATGTGGGGGGAAAAGGTAYACTCATTCATTGTTGGTGGGAATTTAAATTAGGACAACAACTTTGGAAAAGAGTGTGGACATTCCTCAGAAATTAGGAGTGGAACCACCATATGACCCAGYTATCCTACTCCTCTGTATTTATCCAAAAGATCTAAAATCATCACACTACAGTGCCATGTACATACCAATGTTTATAGTAGCACAATTCACAATAGCCAAGTTATGGAATCAGCTTAGGTGCCGGTCAATAGAGAAATAGATGAAGAAAGTGGTATATAGAGACAACAGAATTCTATTAAGCTGTAAAGAAGAATGGCATTATGTCATTTGCTGGTAAATGGATGGAACTGGAGAATATYATGCCAAATGAAATAAGCCAGACTGACCAAGTTAAGGGTCAAATGTCTTTTCTGATATGTGGAAGCTTAAAGAAAATAGGAATTTTAAGTGGGGATCTTATGAAAATAGAAGGGAGATCAGTAGTGTAGAAGCAGGAGACCTAAGAGGAGGGGAGGGAAAGAGAAAGAACTAGGGAATTAAGTTGACAAAATTACTTCATGTGCATGTATGAGTATATCACAATGCATTCCAATTTTATACATAATGATAATGCATAAATTTAAAAAATAAATAGGGTAAGACTAACTGAATCATACATTTTTAKATCCAAGGTCAATACCGTAAGATCTACCTCTTCCTCTACTTCAGGAGAGGGAGGAGGAGAGGGAAAGGAAATGTRCTGRGAATTGAAATGGAGAAACTATGCTATATCAAAATGAACCCTGAAATTRKGTAAAACTATAATGCACTAATACATAAATAAAAARGATAATAGTAAATATGTGAGTAGAACCAAAGTATTATTGCTAGATTATAAGATTAAAGGTAACAGGAACCAAGTCTTTCTTTTTCCTAGCCCCTAACATATTGTCAAGAAAATGTTAAGTTCTCAAATAAATATTTGCTGTTGAAAGTTTTTCAATAAACCAGGCTGGTAAATTACTCAACTTTGGCAGCCAAAAATTAAGAAAGCTTAGGTCCGCTTTGCTTTATAATCTTCCTGTGTTCCTAGGATCTCACTGGTACCATTTTGATGAGCTGATTCACTGTTCTACTGCTCTGGCCTGGGGCCTTGATGCTTGCTTGACATTTTCATATAAAAAAGCACAAATTTATGGACTATTTGCAAGCATTATTTTTCATGCATTATTTTCGAAATTGTTCTTCTTGATTGTGGGAAGGAAGCTAAGTGGAGGAAGGTGGCAAAAAGAGGAAGGGTGATACCCTTCCTTGATACCCTTTTCCTGAGCAGTCAGATGTGCTGAATACTGAACAGCAAGTATAATAAATGAATCAATATCTTGGCCAAGAGCAAGAGCCATATGGCTTCTTCTTCACAGTGGTTGTGAATTTATTTGGGTTTGATCCAGGTGAGTGGCAAGAACAGTTAAGCAAACAACATATTTTTCTGTGCACTGAATCACATTTTTAGATCCAAGGTCAATACTGTAAGATCTACTTCTCCTTTAGATACTTTATTCCCTCTCCTTAAAAAAGAAAAGAAAGAGGAAAAATCATGGCTCCACAAGAATTTGGGGGGATTTAGCTGGAAGTTTTGGTTAGATTTCATTTCATTGGCTTCAGCTTAGAAGAAACAAACTCAATTTAGCTCCTGTATTTTTTATTTGCTTTTCCAGGATGTTCAGAAATGACTGGTGTACTTTAGGCTTTTGTT